AAAAATCTGATACTATACCTGTTTGTTACCGCCTTTATCGGTATTACTACCCATACCACTTGTAGAAGAGTATGGATAGTGGTCTTTTATTGTGGGTGACGTACTATGGCGCACGGCAACAGGTTGTTGTGAAGGTAGTGCCGGCATATCTATTATGTAATTATATATATATATAATTTTTGTTAAAAAAAATTATTCAAATATTACTTTGTTGGATTCGGATTCTCGAGGAAAAAATAAATTTTTATGATAATAATAAAAAATAATTTTTAAAAACGCACCAAATTTATTATTAATATATATATATATATATTTTTATCAACCCGGGAAAGTTAAAAGTGGGTTGATTCACGATCGAATAAATTTGGTGGAAATTGAATGAGATAAAAAAAGAAGAGAGAAAGGAAAAGAGATAAATAAATAATTATTAAAAAAAAAAAAGATTTTTTCAAAAAAAAAACTTTTAAAATTAAAAAGAATCAAATCGCGTATCATAAAACTAAATAAATATTGAGCACGTGAATTCTTTGAACTCAAAAATGAAAAAGATTAATAAAAGATATAAAAAAAAAGATAAAAAATGATATCAAAAATAGAAAAAAAGAAGAATAATATATATATATATTAAATATATATATATATCAAAAGAAGTTTTGATATATAAAGTTTTCGACTAACCTTGAAGGATAAAAAGAGTCGACCTTAGACGACTTCACTGTGACTTTCGACTTTTTATTATTTTCGATAAATGTTTTGTGTTGTTTTTACGCACTACACAAAAAAAATTCCAATAGTTATAAGGAAAATGATAAATATTTACTTAAAAAAAAGATTTAAATTGGGAGCGAAATGAAAATATATTAAAGTGCTTATTATTTTCTATTTCAAAAAAATTTGATAGATGTTATCAAAAATTCGAAGAATTTTTGAAAAAAACAGATTGCTTGTTGCTTGGTATGTCTTTATATATTTTTATATACTTGTACTTGAATATAATTAAAATATTATATAGATTACTTTAAAAATTTTATGATGTGTAACCATTGTATATATATTATTGTAAAAAAAAAAAATACATCTTAATTGGGAAATTTTCCCGGGTATCGGATGATCAAAAAATAAAGATATATAGATATATTAAAATTATTAAAATAAAATGTTCTAATAAAATGTATATATAATTGTTATATAATGTCATCAAATAAGCTCAAATATACTAAAAAATCATTTTTCTAGTTTATATATTTACGATAATGTTAAAATAATTAATCAAATTACTTATATTGTTTCAATATAAATTCTCATTTTCCAATTAGATTTAAGACTTATGACAGCTAGGTAACACATCTTTATAGTCTAAATTATTTATGTGATAATCACGTGATCATGCTAATTTTAGGCTTTGAGTTCTTTAACGTACAGTAGTTGTAGTCTAAGCGTGTAACCTGAAAAGCAAGTTTTTCGGATAGTTGAATAAAAGATATAAAAAGATCTACTTTTATGGGTTATATTAATCATCAGCACATGAATAAAACACCGAGGCACCGAGCGTAAAAGGGCGACCCTAATATTTGATTATGGCAAACAAAACTTTTTTTTTTTTTTTTCGACACAAAGTCTAAAAAAACTTTCTTTTTCTTCTTTTTTTCTTTTTCTTTATTTTAATTCTTTTTTTCTTTTTTTTTCTTTTTTTTTTTTTGACATTCGGTTAATCTTTTTTATAAAGGATGTATACAATGAGAAAACAAAAAAACACGAGTACATCGATGAACATGTCAAAATGTACAACAGGTTTATAAAATATAAAAAAAAAGGATTGTTTTCTTTTTATGAAAATTTCCGAAAATATTCAGTTTCGTGCATTTAATTGTTTTATGATGAAAAAAGGTAGTTATCAATACATCTA